CCAGAATCCCAAGAGGAGAGCTGCTTATAAGACTGGTCCCCCACCTCTGGAAGACGAAGCCTCTGGATAATTCCGCTGCTTTTATTTCATTGGGTTATTCCATGAGTCTTTATTTAGCTTAACTCTGTGTCAGGCCCTATTCGAGGACCTGGGGATACAGCAGTGAACAATAGACAAAAATGCCTGAACTCACACATGTTACAGTTTCAAGGGTAGGGAGACAGTAAATACACAGAATAAATAAGAATACATGTATTATATTTTTATACAGTGTTAAGAGCTATAGAGAAAAATTATACAGAAAAGGGAGTCAGGGAAAGTCCATGGTGGTGTTATCATTTTAAATAGGGTGATTCAAGAAAGCCTCACAGGGCTTCCCTGGTGGCGCAGTGGTTGAGAGTCTGCCTGCCGATGCAGGGGACACGGCTTCGTGCCCCGGTCCGGGAACATCCCACGTGCCGCAGAGCGGCTGGGCCCGTGAGCCAGGGCCGCTGAGCCTGCGCGTCCGGAGCCTGTGCTCCGCAACGGGAGAGGCCACAACAGTGAGAGGCCTGCGTACCGCAGAAAAACAAAAACAAAACAAAAAAACAAAACAGGGGTTCTTCACATATATATGAAATCTAAGAAAACAAAACAAAAAAGTCATTAAGTACCTAGGGGTAAGATGGGAATAAAGACACAGACCTACTAGAGGATGGACTTGAGGATATGGGGAGGGGGAAGGGTAAGCTGGGACAAAGTGAGAGAGTGGCATGGATATATATACACTACCAAATGTAAACAGATAGCTAGTGGGAAGCAGCCACATAGCACAGGGAGATCAGCTCAGTGCTTTGTGACCACCTAGAGGGGTGGGATAGGGAGGGAGGGAGGGAGGGAGACGCAAGAGGGAAGAGATATGGGAACATATGTATAGCTGATTCACTTTGTTATAAAGCAGAAACTAACACACCATTGTAAAGCAATTATACTCCAATAAAGATGTTAAAAAAAACCAGGGGTTCTTAATTTTTTTAATGGTACGAATCACTTTGGAAGTCCAGTGAAACCGTTATACCCCTTCTCGGCATAATGTTTTTAAATGAATAAAATAAAAATACACACAACTAATAAGGTAACCAATTATACTGAATGAAAGTTATCAAAATATTTTAAAAACATGTGTGCCTTAGTAACATGTCTTGTTTACTGAGTTAAGTGACAAGATCTAGTGGCAGTCCTAAAAGCTGAGACTTTGAAGTAGTGATGAATGCAAATTCTTTCTCAAGAACGCTGAAACTCCCACATGATATGAAAATAACATTAAGACAAAGTCACAGACATTGCTAATATAATGTACTGGGGTTTTGGAGGTGCGGGGGGTTGGTTGTTTTGGGGTTTTGTTTTGTTTTGTTTGCCTACATTTAGAATGACAGGAAATGCTAAATTTTAGTTAAAGGCTAGTAAAAACAAAGATGTGATTTTTTTTTTTTTCCTTTCAAGTTCATGGATGTCTTTAATCTCAGGTCAAGATCCTTTTGTAACTAGATCAGTGGTTCCCGAGCAAGGGTGACTTTTACCCGCCCGGGAACATTTGGCAATGTTCTAGAGACATTTTTGGTTGTCACCACTAGGGGGAGTGGGGTGTGTTATTGGCATCTAGTGAGTAGAGGCCAGGGATGCTGCTAAATATGCTACAATACACAGCACATCCTTCCACAGCAAAGAATTATCCAGCCCGAAATGTCAATAGCACGGAGACTAAGAAGCCCTGAACTGGAGGAAGATTTTCTAAAGGGAGTTGGGAAGTCGGCCCCTGGCCCAAACCACATACCCAGTCCTTAGGAAGCCCCAAAAGAATATAACCCTCCACCCTCACTCTAAGTGCTGCTGGGTTTGGAAGGTGCTTCCAAGGGAACACAATTTGAGGCAGATACAAGGAAAGAGCAGAGGACAATACAGGCAAGGGAATAGGGTGAGTTATTAAAAGAATAGCAACCAACTGGTAAAAAGGCATTTGGGCTTTGGCACTATTTACAAAAAATGAACATAAACATATGTTTTAGCTCTGAATTCCACCCCTAGGCATATACTTAACAGAAATACATACATATTTTCACCAAAAGACATGTAGAACAATGTTCATAGCAGCGTTCATCTTAATAGCCAAAAATTGGAAACAACCCAAATATCCATCAAGAGTAAAACAGATAAATAATTTGTGATATAAATAAACAGTAGAAGACTATATGCAAATGAGAATGAATGAATACAACTATATGCAACACGGACGGATCAAACAAACGTACTAAGTAAAAGAAGCCAGGCGCATAGAGTCCATACCATAGGATTCCATTTATAGAAAGTTCAAGAATACCTCATACTAGTTCATGGTGTTAGAAATGAGGATACTGATTACTATTAGTTTAATGACTTAAATAGAAATGAGAATGGATTCTGAAATTCTAGAATGTAACCATTTCTTGATATGAGTGCGAGTTACACAGACATATTATTCACTGTGAAAATTAAGCCATATACATATGATTTGTGTACTTTTGTTTATGTATATGTGAGCAAAGGGTTAACAGCAGGCCTGTGCTCTTTTTCTCCCAGACCTAGACCTTCCTGGGAGGATTTTAGGTTTGTCTTCTCCCAGCATCAGTCCCCTAGATATGTCCCCAAGTTAAGACAGACTTGGAATGTTGGGTACCAAGGCCAGACATGTATTTTACACACTGTGAAATCTCTGATCTGTGAAACAGCACATGGGCTGGGAGACCCATCAACTGTAGGCCTACATGACGGGTGATAAACCCAGGGAGAAGCTTCTTTGTATGAAGACGAACCCCACACCCCATGGCCTCATCACCAGCAACTATATACAAGTCTCTAGGCAAGAGAGGAGGGGCCCAAGCATCGATGCACATGGAGAATTGTTGGCTTCCACTGAGACTGAAGGGCTGTGCCTGCTCTTTCCTGTCCTGAATCCTTCTAAAAAGCTAAGCAAACTAAGTGCTGGATCAAATGCTACTGCGTCTTATGAGTTTGACTGACAGTCAAACCTGTTACCAATGCAATAGTGGGACAGTGTATTGTACTTCAATAAAAAGTTTACTAAAGAAAAAAATTCCTTTGGCTATTCTTGCCAACCTATTATTCACACTGATCACATCTTCTGCTTGGCCTCCAAATTCCTTCCATTTTTCTGAGCTTCTCCTCTCTCCTCTGACCTCCTGTCTTCTCCTTTTAGGACTCTCACCCACAACCAACCCTTAAACTTCCTGTTCATTTCTAACGCAGAGCTGTTTAAGTATTGCACTATCTCACCCCAAACTAGTTAAGCTACCCACAGAGAGCCCATATCAATAACTAATATTGAGATTCATTGCAAAACATAGTTCTCTTCCAGGAGAAGTCATATGACTACTTCTTAAAGAATTTTTTTCTTTTGCTAGACAGAAAATGCTGAATCTCTGTCCATAGACATTCCAAATTCACACATTATCTGGAGTCTCAGTTACCTACGTGACAATCCAGTTGTTCCTTTCCTAATTTGGTGTCTCAAACTTTCCTGACTTGTTAAAATGAATAGAATTTGCTTGCCAACACCAATATATGCTCTTAGAAGTGCTGGCTGCTGCCATATGATCCCCAGGCATAAGTCTACTCTGTACTGTCTCCCTGCATTGCATCTATAGGGATGGCAGATGCTCTATGTTTTCAGTGTTTGGGTTTGGGTTTTTTGTGTTTTTTTTGGAGGGGGGAGTGGGGACTTCTAAGCTTAGCAAAGCCTGAGAAAGACATCTTCCTGCATATATTGATACTTCTTTATTTCCTATGTCATAATATTAACCTCGCCTCCCTTGGCTTTTGCTGTTAAACAGTCTCATGTCTTCTGGAGCTAGGCTTTCACATATCTCACTTGAACTAAGGTATCAGTAGTAGGAGCCTTCTGTCTCACCTCCCCATAGTAGGAATCATTAGGAGAAGGGAGATGATAGCTTCAGAAACAGCATAGTATCTCAAAGATTTCTGAGGCCACCACTTGCATGATCAAGATTGATAATTCTTGTGTCTGATGCTCACTATTTCAATGCACACTGATTGAGTACCACTGATAGTCAAAGATGTCATTGCTGGAGTGGGGAAATATGATTTAAAAGTCACAGCTACTGACAGCCAGCATCTTAGAATCTCATGAGAATCATAAAACACGTTCCCCCAGAACCATGATGCAGGGTGGGACAATCCACAAATAATAGGCTCCCATTGTTAAACCTAATGGTAATGACTCCAGCTTTCTGCAGCACCCTTTTCCCTATGTACTTCCAAAGCACTCAGGATGACAAAGATCAATTTCCAATCATTCCTACAAATGGTACATGAAAAATTAAGATTTAATTGTGATTCCTGGTTCTTTCATCTTGAATCCAAATACCCTGGACTTCAGAAATCATGGAACTTGGTGTAATATTTGAATATCTTGTTTTTGCATCCTCTTGTTCTTTTTTTTATTTTATTTATTTTTTATTTTTGGCTGTGTTGGGTCTTCGTTGCTGCGCATGGGCTTTCTCTAGTTGCGGTGAGTGGGGGCTACTCTTCGCTGCGGTGCACGGGCTTCTCACTGTGGTGGCTTCTCTTGTTGCGGAGCACGGGCTCTAGGTGTGCGGGCTTCAGTAGTTGTGGCACGCGGACCTCAGTAGTTGTGGCTCGCAGGCTCTAGAGCGCAGGCTCAGTAGTTGTGGCGCACAGGCTTAGTTGCTCTGTGGCATGTGGGATCTTCCCGGACCAGGGCTCGAACCCGTCTGTGTCCCCTGCATTGGCAGGTGGATTCCTTTTTTTTTTTTTTTTTTATTGCGGTACGCGGGCCTCTCACTGCTGTGGCCTCTCCCGCCGTGGAGCACAGGCTCCGGACGCACAGGCCCAGCAGCCATGGCTCACGGGCCCAGCTGCTCCACGGCATGTGGGATCTTCCAGGACCGGGGCACGAACCTGTGTCCCCTGCATCGGCAGGCGGACTCTCAACCACTGTGCCACCAGGGAAGCCCTTGGCAGGTGGATTCTTAACCACTGTGCCACCAGGGAAGCCCTCCTCTTGTTCTTGTGGAAAAAGAAAGTCCTCTTCTAGAAAAGGTACTGGAGGTACTTCCTATGACAAAATGAGGCTTCTTCAATCGTCCAAGTTCACATGTACAAAGTGTGAAATCTCAGAATTGAGATTCAGGTTCTGAATTGTCCTGGACAATGGATCTCACTAGAAATAGAATCATCTCCAGGACCTGTTCAAAGAAGAACTTTCTAACAGTATTCAATACTGGAACACAGGAAACTGTCTCCAAAATAACCAGATCTGTGCAAAAATAAATTTGTGAAATAACATAGGGAAGATTATGAAAGACAGTTTCCAGAATGCCCACATTCATGTGGTTTGTAAAGGTGCGTTTTTCATAAAGATCTGTACAGTTCAAAAGCATGAGATTCTGCACGGGTGGCTCCTTTATTCCAGGAGCAGGCAGAATTTATTTTCATCTTCTATGCATGGGTCACCAAAATAAAGAATGTTCCTCCTCTTCAGTCTTTTCCTCAGTAAAGAATCAGGTTTTCAGGTGTGCTCAGGGGCTCTCTGGTGAAGAGCAGCCACCATAACGACCACTATGGAGCATTTTTCCCTTCTTCACATATGGAACATGAAGAATATTACAGAAAAATCAGAGTTTAGAAGTCACTCTCAAACACACGTAGAAAAATTATTGTCAGAATATTCTTAAGCTTTAAAAAGTTGGAAAAGCCTGTGATCTTTGAACTGTTTCCAGGAGTCAGTGACTCTAAAGGAAGATATTCACCATCAGTGACCCCACCCAGAGTTTCCTTTTGTGACAGTCTTGCCCCATGATGCTCTGGGTTGGCATTCTCTCCAGGTCACCAGGTTTCTGCAATCTCTGTGAGAACCTGCAGCAGCTCAGCAAACGTCGGGCGGCCTTTAGGTTTCTGGAAAAGGGAAGTAGAGGTGGTCAGCTCAGCTTAAGACTCACTCAGACACCAGCTCTAGAACTTGCTGGCAGGACCTGGATCCAGGCTGGTTCACCGCAAATGGAAGAGAAAGGCATCTTGGCTGATACGCAGGACATGAATGGCAGTTGAGCGAGGCATGAGTGTGAAAATGTAACGGTAGAGAGCGCTCCAAAAGTAGAATAGCTACAGCTGCAAACACTAGCCATATGTGGCTATTTAAATTTAAATTACTTAAAAGAAGATACATTTTAAAATTCAGTTCTCAGTCACACTAGCCACTTCTCAATTCTTCAATAGTCAGGTGTGGCTACCATACTGGATAGTGCAGACATAGCACATTTCCATCATCACAGAAAGTTCCATTGGACAGTACTGCTCTAGAGATCTATTTGGATGACTTGATACACAGGGTAAAGGAAGAGCTGGGAGAGAGGGGCCTCTAGAGCCCCAAGCCCCCAGGCTCATCCCCAATTATTCACTACACCTGACCCCCTGTAGAAAGATGGATTTTAGTCAAAAAGCAAAAGCCATGTGTTCATGAGGCACTTTGCAGGTCTTAGAGCACAGACTGTGCTGTCTTAAGGCTCAGTCAACAAAATCTCCAACCATGAAACCAAGGATTGGAGCCTTTTTCCTACTTCACAGTGGGATGCGGTTTGACTTTGGCTCCAAGAGGAAGCTCCACGGCATCTTTGAAATCCATGGGAAACAGAACTACTCATGGTAGCCACATTCTCACAGAGGTCCCTGGCAGCAGGGTTAGTGGGGAGGCACCACCCTTTGTGGCTTGTAAACAGAAGGCATCAATAAAAGGAGAGAGCAAGAAACAACCTAAATGTCCATCGACAGACGAATGGATAAAGAAGATGTGGTACATATATACAATGGAATACTACTCAGCCATAACAAAGAATGAAATAATGTCATTTGCAGCAACATGGATGGAACTACAGATTATCATACTAAGTGAAGTAAGTCAGAAAAGAAGACAAATACCATATGATATCACTTATATGTGGGATCTAAAATATGACACAAATGAGCTTATTTATGAAACAGAAACAGACTCACAGGCATAGAGAACAGACTTGTGGTTGCCAAGGGGGAAGGGGGTGGCAGAGGGATGGAGTGGGAGTTTGGCAGATGCAAACTATTATATATAGAATGGATAAACAACAAGGTCCTACTGTATAGCACAGGGAATTATATTCAATATCCTGTGATAAGCCATAATGGAAAAGAACGTGAAAAAGAATGTATATATATGTATAACAGAATCACTTTGCTGTACAGCAGAAATTAACACAACATTGTAAGTCAACTATACTTCAATAAAATAAATTTTTAAAAAATAAAATAAATAAAATTTAAAAATTAAAGGACAGAGCAGAAGGATATGTGAGCACACATAAAGGGCTCCTTGAGACTTCAAGAATAAATAGTGGAGCTTTTTGCTGGTGCTGAGGTTGTGCAGGTAGTAAAGCCTATGAAACAAGTGTTATCACTGCTAACATAATCACATTTGAATCTAGAGGCGCATAAGCGCCTCGTTTACTTCGTCCTCTTGTCAGCATCTTATTGACTCCTTTCTCTGTCTCCTCTCCACAGATATGTAAAATCTCAAAATGTATTATATTGTATGTGCATGTACAAGTATATTGCTTAATATACAATATATATTCCTAAGCTATTTACGTTGTTATTGCAAAGATGCTCTTAAGACATCTGTTTGCTACTAACATCTCACTTAATATTTTTTACGTCTTTCAAGATTCCTTGCAGAACAGTTAATCATATGCAAAGTATTTTCATACACTGGGGATCTTTATAAAATTAATACTTCTCTGGAATGGAAACAACCATGTCGCTCTTGAAATATTGAATATTTTTAGTGTTTGTGTATTGGGAGTCAAGTGATTTCTTTGTCAGCCAGGAGGAAATCCTCATCCAGCTGTAGTTTTTTCTGGGTTGAAACAGTCAGCTAGAAAGAGAGAACTGTCAAAATCACAGAGGAGGCTGATGAAGCGGAGTGGTGTGTTGAGTCAGCGCCCAGAAAAGACAGAGGTGGGATATAAACCCTCTGGCTTTATTTTAAAGCTTGGCATTTCAAGTAAAAGAGAAACTGGCCTCCCAGGAGATAATTTTCCGAGTAAAAGTTCCTGGCTTCATTCCTTCACTTTCTGCCTTCATTCCTATTCTCGTTTAATCTCTCTATCAGGAGTCTTGAGTGCCATAGGAGAGATGAAACCCATTACTTTTAGCCTTGGAAAAGCAAGACAAATTAGAGTGAAGTAAATAAAAACACCATCCTTCTCTTTCAATGTGGAAACTGAACAAGCCTGATTCTACCCTTAGTTTCCACCCAAGCAGTTCTTAAAAGGAGTAAAACGTCTCATCACTGAGGCTTTAGTAACATCGAGAGTTTCTGCAGGAACCAACTTCAGCAAGATAAGACTTGGGGAATGCACTGAATTCCTCAGATGAAAGGCCATTGTTAAAAACAAAATGGATTAATGATTTTGTAGTGGAAGTACTTCTGGCTCTCAGGGGTCATTACCGAGAAATAGACACCTTTTCCTGCCATGACGAAGTGCTGGAGTAATGTGGGTGATAAACAGATCTACTCTCAGAGGCTGGAACTGCCAACCTTTGCAGGAAAGTAAGGGGCACTCACCTCATGCCAGCAGCTGTACATGACTTCATATATGGAAATCGGTGCCAGGTGAGGTCGGTACAGCCTGAAGCCTTTAGAAATCGCTTCCACAACTTGCAAATTTGACTTATTTTCAAAAGGCATTTTTCCTTCTGTAAAAACTTCCCACATCAAAACTCCTGCAAATAAAATGCATGAAAATAAGGGGTTAGAGAAATGGTTACTTGGAACTGAAACAGCTGTTTCAAATTACAACCCATTATTTTCCTCCTGCAGTCACTGAGTTACAATCATCCAGAACGACAGCAGTTCTATCTAGGAAGCAGACCCTGTGCATCTTACTTTTTGAAGAGGCCTATGAACTGAATATATTCCAAGTGAAAACAATGCCTTTCCTTTTCCATTGGTCACGACTGCCTCCTTATTGGAAGAAAAATGCTGGCAGCATCTTCATTTCAAAGTACTGCTCATGTCTCCACACCCTGAAATCAATGAAACTTTGCCATTCCATAGAAAATGACAGAATTGTGTGATCCCCTGCTGCCTGCTAAAGCCAAGAGTTTACCAGCCAGTAGATGGCATGCGTTCCCATCTTCCCACTGAAAGACTGCTGGGTAGAGTCCCAGAAAATCTGGCAGGGGCTCTGTTTATAAGTAGGTGTTCAAAAATCATTGATGGAGTGATGAAACTCCTTCAAGGCTCCCAATTTGAGTTTATTTAATTATTCACTTATTCTACAAATATGTATTAGGTATTGATCAGAGGCCAGGCCTGTGCTAGAGCCAGAGGATTCTTAAGACTGAAACCAGTCTATGTGCTCAAGAAGCTCACTGTACAGTGAGGAAGAAAGACAAGTGGTCAGGTAAAACTCAAGGAGTTCTAAATGTTCTACAACCACGTGGTGAGATCCTTGTGTTGCTATCCACTGGTCTCACAGCTTAACTGCTCTCCCGTAGAGCTTATAATGTCACCTGCCACGACTACCACATGTCAGTGGAGAGCTAATGAGATCAATACAGGCTTAACCTTATTGTGGGCAATAATATTCACACCCTTTGAGGGTGCAGATGTCTCTCCAAAGCCAAGAAGCCATCCAGAAAGGTACAGGTGAAAGAGAATAGATAGATTATTATACATTTGTTGCCATTTTTTGAAAGTCAACTCAAAGAACAAACTCCATGGGACAGAGGTCCACAGTATCTCTTTTTCAATGAAGAGCATTACCCAATATAAACAGCAATGGATAGATCCCAAGGAAGCCTATGTCTAATTTCACAAAATAGGAAGGTGATAATGTAAATGAGACGGCATCACTCAAAGTCAGACAATGAAGTTTATTAATTACGCTCAAGATTTAACGATGCCGTAAGATCAGTTTTTCTTGCAAGTCTCTGTGGTGTGGGAGAGTTGGCTGAGTTGGTTTTCTAGATCAGTAGACTTTGTTATGGTTTTACAGCAAGTGCTCAGTGGGAAGGGAGAAGATCCAAGAGGCAAACTTCATGTAAGAAGGTGTATGACACCAGTTGCCAAAGACAGCCTGATGTGTTTAGAACGCCTAAGACAGAAACACAGTTATAAGAAGACCTTTAGCTACATCATATTAAGAAATCAAAGTTAAAACAGCAATCCCTATTTTATGAGAACCTACTGTATAGCACAGGGAACTCAGTGCTCTCTGGTGACCTAAATGAGAAGGAAATCCAAAAAAGAGGGGACATATGTATACATATAGCTGATTCACTTTGCTGTACAGTATAAACTAACACAATACGGTAAAGCAAATATACTCCAATAAAAAAATAAATATTTTTTTTAAAAAAGAGCAATCTCTATTTTATTAAATCAAGCTCCAACAAATGAACATCGAATTCACTCACCAAATGACCAGACATCAGATTTGCTGCTATACTTATTGAAATGGAAAACTTCAGGAGGGGACCACTTGACTGGGAACTTGGCTCCAGAAGAACTGATATATTCATCATCCAAAACGTACCTAGGGCCATCAGATTTCAGAGCACATTGTGTTAATTACCTCTAAGCTAAGTTTACTTCAAATCCTTTTAGTTAACTCTGATTTCTAAAATACAAAGTATTTTCCACAGAAAGGTTCAGTATACCTTCTCTTCTTGCTATCAAAGTGAGAAAGTAGCCCTTATAGAGTTTCCTCCTTAAACCAAGCCTCAATTGCATTTATTGTATTTGGATCTCAGAAAACCATAGCAATTCTTCAGTCTGAAACATGCTCCACTGATTAGTTATGATAAATTCCTAATTCTGCAAAGAAGCATGCTGAATGCGCTAACAACCAAGGTTATTTTTTTAAAAAGATAAATATATGTGAAAGAATAAACTCGAAGTTTGATGCCTTATTTTCTTTCTATATACATATAATTTTTGCAGGACAGAGAAGGGGAAAAATAAAAGTATTTGAACGTAATACATTTGGTATGTAAAATCTCTAATGCCTTTATTCAAATGGAAATAAATCAGGAACAACTATCATCTCCTTTAAAAAAAATAACAACAACAAAATTAAACCCTCTCTCTTTTTTGAAAATCATACACAGTAACATCCAAGTGTGGGAATCTGGAGAAAAGAGAGGATAGCTAACGTGTGCTGTGTAGCTCCTTAAGTATGCAATATAGTATTTTTGAAATACTATATATATATATATATATATATATAGTATACTATATATACTATATATATTAAATATAAAATTAATATATTTACTAATGCTTCCCCACACACCCACTTGTTTCGCACATACCTTACCTCACCGCACCTTTAAGTCCTTTATTGAGCCAGAGGTCATTCTACTAGAGGAAAGAATGAATAACAGAAAACGAAAGGAAAAGAGCCATTTTTTTATAGCTTTTGAGTTTCAAAAGTCTAGACTTTCCAGAGAAGGAGAAGGACTGAGTTATGAACAAAATATCTGGGAGAATGGCTCATGAATACGAATGATATCTCACTACCACCACCATCCATTCTGCTACAAAAATATCCCTTGTGCTGGGGGTGTGGGAGAGATTCAAAAGGAAAGGGAAGGAGTATTAGACACTAGGGGGTGGCTGAGGTAGGGTCCTGTACCCTGCACCCTATGAGGGCTGCCCTAGTCACACTGCAGCGAAAGAAGAGCCCACTGCCCTACAGTCGGTTGGTGGGATTCAAGAGCAAAACAGAACCTGTGTCGTCTTTCCCAGGCCAAGCCCTGGGAAACACAGAAAGATTCCAGAGGACAAATGGCTATGGGTGTGCCAAGGCAGACGGGGCCTTAGCCACGTGGAGAGCTCTAGTCATGGCAAATGTCAGACATGAAGGAATCTTACAGGCAGAAATTCAAGATGAGTCAGCGGCCACCTGTGTGGATGGCCAGCCAAAGACAAAAGAGGAGGATGGTGGCTGTAAGGAAGCTAGTGTCAATGGATAACAACAGGGACCAGACAGGCCATCTCCAGTATGTGGCCCCATGAGACACACAGAATTTGGATTGTGACCCTGAACAGCGTCAGGGAGAAACCCTGAAATCACTGGGATGAAATTTCTAGCAACCTGAAGGAAAGGAGATGCAAAATGTAAACTGCACTGAGTTGCTGAAAATAAGGTCAGATGATTCACACTCTTGTGCTGTAGGCTTAGAGTCAGCTGCTACACTTGATAAGAGAAATGCATGATGATGACAGAAAAATCAGAGCTGAGAAAATAAATTTATTCTTTCTCTATTTCAGAAATATACATATATAAGGAAAGCTTTTTTCTTAACCTTATATATATATGACAAGTAGACTGAGAAATTCTTTTGAATTTTAAGATATGACATAGTTTTATTAATAACCGCCTGAAAGAAGATCAGAATAGCCCACAGCCTCCGTTGCCCTCACAGCTAACACTGGTGCATGTCCTAAAGTTCAAAGTGGGTCAGCAGGCCATACAACTACATCAACACTGCCCTCAGAGAAAAAAAAAACAAAGCCAAAAACATCTTCGCTTTGTCTGTAGACTAATGTAAGATTCCCTCCTGTGAGTAAACAAACAAAAAAGAATATCACATACCTTGTCATTCCAAAGTCTGAAATTTTTACTATACTTGTAGAACTGACCAAACAATTCCTCGCGGCCTATAGGGAGAAGAAAAGAACCCACGTGTGAATACAAAGTTTCTCTTTCCAGAGTTTCTACTCTCCTTTTCCTTAGTTTCTTCGGGCCCCAGCACTACCTCTCTGTGTGAACAGCCATGTTATTTCATGGTGATACCTATCGATGCTACATATGATTTAATGTATCTGCCCTCATGTGATGGATTTTAATGACTTTTCAAAGAAATGACAAAAAATGAAAAGAAATTTTAACACTTTTCCTTTTTAAAATGTGTAATCTTTCTCAAGAAGTATCCTTGATAAGTGCATCTTGGTATAAAAAATAGTGTGTATTTACAATTTTATCTTCATAAATAAAAAGAGGGAAGTCCAATATGCATGAAAAATAACAGATCGTCACTATATATCTTTGGGATAGTCATTATATATAATTGCTAATAAAAACAAAGAAACTGTATCTTAAAACTTACATTTCATTGAACATAACTCTTTACAATATTTTCATATTTATTAAATTACCACAGTGAACTAAATATAGTACTATATAATTCAGAAACAATCCTGTTGATGCCCAAACAATCCATTTTCAGTCAGCTTAGTCAGGAGAATCATTGACTTGGTTATTTAGCCTCATGTAGGCCAGTGGTTTGATAGAATTTTTCTCTTTTGAGCTAATTTGTGGTTCAGTTAGTTCAAAAGCAAAAGCAAAAAACTTGAAATGGAGAGCCGGAAGGAGCCAGTTTGGAAGATGTTGACGAGTGCCAGCAAATGATCTCAAAGCTAAACCACAAGGCAAACCCTCGACCGAGAAAAGACTCATAGTTGGCTAATATATTTTAAGTGGCATGTAGGTGGAGAAAACAGAACTCAAAGGAAAGCAATCAAGGAAGGAGCCGAGACTAGGAGGGTCTGCAGGAAGCCACCTGGAGCAAATAGAATGACCAGAACTGTCACCTGACTGAATTTTGAATTCTAATCCTTATCAGGAAGGACAAACTGCAGAGGCCAGGAAAGTGAGTTAGGTGGAACTGATGCCAGATCCATACATTCAAAAATGTGCTCAGTGGCTACTATGGGCTGGACCCTGGGGAATGTGCCATGAGGCACGCAAAACAATGGTCGAGCATTGCTGAGCTTTTCTATGTGCCAGACACTGTTCTAAGTGCTTACGCATATTAATTCATGTAATCCTCCCAACAAGTCCATATGTGGGAGGTGCTATAATTAACACCACTTTACTAGTTAACTAGCTTACTCAAGGTCGCATGGCTAGTAATAAACAAAAGCGAGATTTCGACCAGCTCTTGAGCAGGGCTCTCAATCTTGACTGCACAGTGGACTCACCAGGGAAATTTTCCAAAAATGCTGATGACTAGATTCTACCCGCAGAGATTCTGATTTCATTGGTCAGGGGTATGGGCTGGGTACTGTGATGTTTTTAAACCTCCCAGGTGATTCTAATGCACAGCTAAGTTTGAGAGCCATTGCTTGGCAACTTGTATTCTCATAATGCTGAACTGCAGCTCAGAAGTCTACGCCTTGATGTCAAGGAGTTTAGAGTCTAATATTTGTGTAAACAACTATTATAGGAAGTAGTAAATAATAAATGCTCTGACAGTTCTAAGTCATGTGTAGGGAAAGCAGCGGTGTGCTAGGGCCAATGAAATTATGCCTCCTTTCTCTCCCCAAAATATTCCAGCCTGAATGATAAATAATATGGTCACTCTGGTGATGGCTGATGGAAGTTCAGGATTACCTCTAGATGACAGTATCAGGGACTTCTCAGAAATTCTCAAATTCTCATTGGATTTAATTTGGGAACTTAGAAATGAGACATGGAAGGACATAGAAGGAATAGTATGAATATCATGAATAAATATGGAGCAGACAGAAAATGTTTTTCAAGGGAAGGTAACAAGGCAGGGAAGCAGAGCTATTTGCTTTTGCGGCAAGTCAAGCTTCAATCTTCTTTGTTTGTTTGGAGAGCTGTTCTGAGCACTATGCAACAGAATGGTTTAGCATTCTGACTCCTTCCCAATAATGCCAGTAGTGCTGCTGTGATACTGCAAAAACCTAACCACCTCCACCTGAGGCAGTTTCACCCCCGGGTGAGACCCACTGGGGTTCTTCAGCATTGTATCCAGCACCTGGCAGAGTGCGTGGCATATACAGGCACCCAATATATATTTGATTATTGGTTGAAAGAAAGAAAGATAGAAGGAAGAGAAGGAAGAAGAGAGGGGGAAGAGGAAAGAAAAGTAAGTTAGCTTTAGTTGATTAGTGTGGTGATTAACTACTTCAAGGCGTATTTAGAGTAACACCTTGCTTGGTTCCAGCATCAATGAGCAATTAAAAATAAAGCTACATGTCGCAACAGGTTACACAAATAGGAAAATGTTTAAAAATTAAGTCAAAGAATGCATTATTCAAAGTATTGAAAGTCCTAACTTATCATGTCCTTCTGAATACAAGTATAATATATACATAATCAGCAAATTTGCACCGTACTTACTAAATCCCTGTGGATAAAGCAGTTTCTCTCCAGATACTCCATTCCTTCACAGATATCTTGACATGCACTCAATAGCATCTCCTTCCTAAGTTTTCCTTTCCTCTCTCTGAGATAGTTAAGCAGGCAACCATTTTCCATAAACTCCGTCACAATATAAAGGGGCTTCTGCTGTATACACACTCCATAAAGCTGAACGAGCCTTGAATGAGATAACTTCCTGGTGAAAAAAACACAGACCCGAATCGTTTTTGCATTCTGAAGTGTTTGAAATCAACTGGTGATATTTACCAGCTCCATATAATGTTCATCATCAAACTATGATTAAAATTAACCCAACCACAGAGAAAGTAGGACAGTTTCCTTTCTACTTCATGTGCTGAGAAAGTGGGGTTGAGAGTTTACGCAGTACTTCCTAAGTCACTGTACATACAGAATAGTACATGCCCATGTTCTGCTTTTCTCTTTTCCATTTTGTAAGCCTTTTGCTTCCTCAGTACTGCTGCTCCTTGCCCAGTTCCTGTTCCCTGAGTTTCAACCTCCCCAACTGCAGCTGCTGAGACAAAAAATTCTGGACAGGAGGGAGGAAAGAGTGATTGATGTGCATTAAAAATATTAAATTCTAAAGAATAAAGGCATTTAAAGGAAATTTTTAGATTAAGTTGAAGACTGAAAAACATTTACCAACGTGAAACCCTTCTCTGTATTTAGTAATTACACACACACACACACACACACACACACACACACAAGTCCTCAAATACTGCCTGTTAAAGTACACACACTAAAATAATCTTTTTTTTTTTTAATTTATTTTTGGCTATGCTGGGTCTTCGTTGCTGCACGTGGGCTTTCTCTAGTTGTGGCGAGCAGGGGCTACTCTTCGTTGTGCTGCGTGGTCTTCTCATTGCGGTGGCTTCTCTTGTTGCAGAGCAGGGGCTCTAGGCGCCCTGGCTTCAGTAGTTGTGGCTCGCGGGCTCTAGAGCGCAGGCTCAGTAGTTGTGGCGCATGGGCTTAGATGCTCCACAGCATGTGGGATCTTCCCGGCCAGGGCTCGAACCTGTGTCCTCTGCATTGGCAGGCAGATTCTTAACCACTGAGCCACCAGGGAAGCCCCCTAAAATAATCTTTTTAGTCATTTATACTTCGAAAGTTTGTTTCTTCTCGACTATAGTATTCAGGTTTTAGAGAAATTAGAATTACTTACATATTTTTACTATTATAAATGTAATTAGTTCACATATTTTCCTATATGCACTGCTACTAATAAGCTACATCCAGAGATACAAACCCACAGTTGATCAACTAAAATAAAGGATCCTTTAAAAGCAATGCAGTGTTATAATAATTTAAAGAAAATGTCATGCTCCTAAACAAAAGAGCTGAATTCAAGTTGTTTTATCTCCTATTGATGCATGACCAGGAGCAACTTATTTAAAATTTCTAAGCCTCAGTTTTTTCACATGTAAAATAAGGATAATAAAACCTGTCCTTCTTTCTTCCAATGAATATTAAATGAGATAATGTATGTGAATGTATTATAAAAAGTATAAACCATGGTAAAAATATAAAGATAAAATTTTTAATTTTAGTAGAAATTTATGGGCTGAAAAACAGACTGGTCTTCCTTCATTTTCCTAAATAATCTTTTAGCAGGTACTCTGGAAACACCATGAGTACAGGCCCCCAATTTAGGCTATATTCTAAAATATGGTAATTAAGAACACAGTAGAGATTTGAAGTTACTCTGCTAGTGCACTGGAAAAACTACACGGGATGACAATTTTGGTTAACAATTATGGCCCCTACTATAAGATCTGGCATATAGTAGTTGCTCAATAAATATTTGTTGATTATTATGTTAGCTAAGACTATGGACTTTGTACCCAGACAGTTCACAGTTTTGATTACAATTAGACACTACCAATGTTTTGTTGAGGAACTGTGGGCAAATTACATAAGTTTTCAAAATTTCTTTTTTATCATGTATAAAATTGGGGTCTTTTTTTTCTTTTTTTTAATTAATTTTTTTATACAGCAGGTCCTTATTAGTCATCCATTTTATACATATTAGTGTATACATGTTAATCCCAGTCTCCCAATTCATCACACCACCACCACCACCACCACCCGCCACTTTCCCCCCTTGGTGTCCATACGTTTGTTCTCTACATCTGTGTCTCTACTTCTGCCCTGCAAACTGGTCATCTGTACCATTTTTCTAGGTTCCACATATATGCGTTAATATACAATATTTGTTTTTCTCTTCCTCACTTACTTCACTCTCTATGACAGTCTCTAGATGCATCCACATCTCTACAAATGACCCAATTTCATTCCTTTTTATGGCTGAGTAATATTCCATTGTATATATGTACCACATCTTCTTTACCATTCGTCTGTCAAAGGGCATTTAGGTTGCTTCCATGACCTGGCTATTGTAAATAGTACTGCAATGAACATTGGGGTGTATGTGTCTTTTTGAATTACGGTTTTCTCTGGGTATATGCCCAGTAGTGGGATTGCTGAGTCATGTGGTAATTCTAGTTTTAGTTTTTAAGCAACCTCCATACTATTCTCCATAGTGCCAGTATCAATTTACATTCCCACCAACAGGGCAAGAGGGTTCCCTTTTCTCCACACCCTCTCTAGCATTTGTTGTTTGTAGATTTTCTGATGATGCCCATTCTAACTGCTGTGAGGTTAATACTTCATTGTAGTTTTGATTTGCATTTCTCTAATAATTAGTAATGTTGAGCAGCTTTTCATGTGCTTCTTGGCCACCTGTATGCCTCCTTTGGAGAAATGTCTATTTAGGTCTTCTGCCCATTTTTGGATTGGGTTGTTTGTTTTTTTAATATTGAGCTGCATGAGCTGTTTATATATTTGGGAGATTAATCCTCTGTCCGTTGATTCATTTGCAAATATTTTCTCCCATTTTAAGGGTTGTCTTTTCATCTTGCTTGTAGTTTCCTTTGCTGTGCAAAAGCTTTGAAGTTTCATGAGGTCCATTTGTTTATTTTTG